TTTGCACTCAACTCCACCTAACTCCAGGGTTGGTGCTCTATCCATTGCAAAACCTAGCTGCTAGAAAGCATATTCAAATAGAATTCTAGGAGGGTGAAGAATAGGGTTTTTTTTAATGTTTTTTTAAATGAATGCTAAGCTTTGGAAATGCATTTCCTCCTACACAACTAGGTTTTAACTGCTTAATAGGAGTTTTCGCTGAGGAAGCTCTAATGTGCAGGATTTGATGCATGTCATATTTTTATGCTTTTACTTTTTGTCACCTATTCTGCTTTTTTTTTTTACCAGCTTTTTTTCTAGACCATTTCTTTTTAATACTTTCCTGTGTTGCCTGTCACCAGTACTTGAAAAACAATTTGGAATGCATGCTTTACTGATACAGGCACATCAGAAGGTCATTCGGATCACCTTCAAATGCACACAGACTTTTTCTTTCTTTTCTGATGTTACATCAGTGTTTAAAGGATCTGTGATTTCACTGGCGTGGGTACTCCCACCAAGCACACACATTGAAGACCCAGCCATGCCTCAGTAAATGGACTTGGTGAAAGCTGGTGGTGAATCTCATAGTGTTTTTAGTCTCTCCCAATTTAATCAGATCATCACAGAATCTCAAAGTGAAGAGAAAGCAGACTCCAGGCCTTACTTGAAAAGTAATCCTCAATGCAACATACCTCACATGTGGTCTAGCAACCTTTCTTAGAGACTTTCAGTGAGGGGGAAACTGCTACTTTCTGAAGGATTCCATTCTACTTTTAGAAAGCTCTAATTTATAGGAATTTTTTCTCATACCCAAACAATCACATAGAATTGTGATTTCATCCATGTGGATATCCTTGCCAATGATGCAGAACACAACCCGGCCATTCTACAATCTTGTGCCTATCTTGTCTTATAAGTTTGCCATAGTAGGAGAAGGGTGGGGAGGAAATCTACCCCAATGTACTGGGGGAAGGCCCTTGACATTCCCCTGACATTGTGAAGTGGAGCAAATAGGACTTTCTTACCCCTCCCTAATTCTGTCCTCCAGCAAACTTCCCTATTTTTATTGATGGCACCCCCAGTCTTCCAGATTCCTAGGTTCATAACTTTGGTGTTATTCTCAGCTCCTCACTGTCCCTCCCCTACTCCTGCCCTACATATGAAACGGTTATTTTTCATTTTTGTTCCATGACAAACAAGCCCATCTTCTTCTTCAATCATATGTTTCTTTGGTGAAATCCTTTAACTAGAGTTTTTATTTGTTACATGTTGCAGCCTATACATATCCACTATGCCTCTCCCCCAATCCTCTGAATGATACTCAATTTTAATATTTTAGAAACTGTTGTGTTCCATGCCTAAAGGGGACCATCTCCAGTTGTCCTGACCTATATCTTGTCACTGGACTCAGATGGCTCTGGAGGAGAAAGTGAAGCTGGTGACTTTGCATAGCACTCTCTCACTTAAATCCAATTCACTTGTAAGTCATAACCTATCTTTCCTGATGTCATGGTCCTCTTTGAGAAGGAAGGACAAACAACAACTATGCCTAAAGGCCATATACCATGCCGATAGACTACTGGTATTAACAAGATGGGCCTTCATTTGAGGAAGAAGTTTGAGTCTATCAAAGGAACTTTGAATTTTCTCATAAGCAAATCAGCCTTTTCTCTTCTTCCCATTTAATTTTTGGTTTTCGCTATGTTCAGTGGTAGTAGTCAACAAGGGTCATCTGAGGCATAATTGTTGCTAATTGAAATTTTAATTTAGGGCCTTAACTTGTCCAGCTGCACTCAAAGAAAGTCAAAAAGCATTTATTAAGTCTTGACTATATGCTAGGCACTGTGGTAAGCACTGAGGATACAAAGAAAGGCAGAAATTGTCCCTGACCTCAAGGTGCCCACATTCTAATGGGGGACAACTAGGTACATACAAGATATATGTTGTTGTTTGTCCTTTGTTCTCAAAGAAGACCATGACATTGGGAATCAGATGTCATGATTTACAAGTGAATTGGACAAAGGCACCAGCCTCACTCTATCCTCTGGAGCCATCTGGGTCCAGGGGCAAAATATAGGTCACGATGACTGGAGTTGGCCCCAGATGCCGTGAGAGGCATTGGCGTTTTCGAACTAAGGTCTTCCCCAGGTCTGTTTGGCTGAGGCAACACCCATTGAGTGATTAAGGCTAGGTAAAAATGAGACAAAGAATGGCCTCCTTTACCTAGTTAAAAAAATGAAATAAAGTCAGTCTGGGAGAGGAAGACCCTTAGGGTTTCTCACCAAAACAGAAACAACTGCTACTTGCACTCACTCTGAGTATCAGAATCTAAACAATGACCAGGTGAGGCTTGGTCTGGGACCTATTGTTGGCCAGTCAAGGAGAGCCAGAGTGATTTGGTTTTAAGGCATGGTTGGTTCATGGAGGGTAAATAAAGGTAATCTCAGAAGGAAATTTTTGAGAGGGACCAAGAAAGACCTCTTGAAGAAGGTAGGAGTTGAGCTGAGACTTGACAGACTTCAGAGTTATCAGGAAGCTCAAAGAAGGAGGAATTCCTCCGGTGTATTCCAGTGGAGGGAGACTTGAGGTAGAGAAACCAACCAGCAGGCTTATTGCAAAGTCTGGGCATGAAGTGATGAGAGCCTACACCATGACAGTGGCAGAGGAGAGAAGGCGGTGTATGTGAAAAGTGTTATGAAGGTAGAATGAACAGAACTTGGCAATAGATTGGATATGGAGAGGGTGGGGTACATGAGAACGAGAATTTGTGGTTGATACCTCAAGCTTGGATGACTAGGAGGATCTGCTTAAGGTATATGTACTAATGGACAAAATCTATAGGTTTTTCATTTAACTGAACAACAGGCATCTACATCTGGTATTGATGATTAAGTCAAATTCTTTTGAGTGATTATTATTATTAGCATAATAATAATAATAATATGATGATGATGATGTTATTGTCATCCAGGAGGCTCTGTAATGTTCTAGGGCTTGATGAAAACAGCACAATGACCTCCACAAGCAGCAGCATATGTAGAAGGTCAACATCTCTAGGGAATTTCTCTTCAGCTTGGACCCTGTGTCTGGATCTCTTCCATGACTTTTGCAAACACCTTTGGCCAACACACATCTCCTTTTTCTCATGCCTTGCCTAATATTTACAATGAAAGAGCTGTTGGACAAGATTGTCTCTGCTTTCATTCCTTGCATAATTTTGATGTGGGAATGGGAGAAATCTTGTTAGTAGAGAGCCTTTAAGCTATGTTTTACTCTATCAAATCAAAAGCTTTTTTTATAGGAAAAAAAAAACAGAGGGATATATATTTGTTACATCTTTGAGTCATGTGTGATGTTTAAGATATCATCTACTATAATATATTCCTTGCAAAAGGCCACCATCAAGGATGTCTTCAGTGTGTACATAAATTATTCTCATTAAAATTTTATAAAGTTGGGAAAGTGGGCATATAGGATGTACTTGTTAATGTCCTCAGTCCCCTTTTTCACATTAATAATGTCTGAGATTTTTCAGATTGGTAGGATCCATCAGAACTTGTTCCCCTCCAGCATAACCTTCAAGAACCCAGGATCAGCTCTATGCTATGACGAAGAATTTTATGGACATGGTTAACCTATAAAATGGGGATTCTGATATTTGCACTACTGTCTCTCAAAGTAATTGAATTTGGAGGAGAGAATACATTTAAAGTCTTTCTATGTGTAACATGCTCTACTAATGCAAACACTTTCAATTTTCATGAAGTATTGTGTAGGTTTTCTGTTGGATGTGGGCTGGCTGTATTTTGATTGTTTTGCTAGGTTTTTGTCCCCCTCCTTTACTTTTCTGCTCCTCAGTATCTTCACTATTCCCCTACCCAGGGTGGTCCAGAAGAAAGGGAACAAGGTTGTAAATTGAGAAACTTGGGTTTCATTCATGGCTTTCTACTTGCTGATAGTATGATAGTGTCCAAATCATTGAAGTCCTCTGAGCCTTAGCTTCTTATCTATGGAATGAAGACAACAATAGCTGAGTCCTGTGATGCCCTGCTTGTTGACTGAGGGATTATAACTTCATTCCCTTTTCTCAGTTCCCTTTCATTTACCTAGTGTTAGGCAGTTATAGCTAGAATGCTAGGCCTACAGTCAGGAAGAAGTCACCTCAAATCCAACCTCAGATACTTGCTAGAGGTGTGACTCTGGTCAAGTCATTTCCCCTCTGTTTCTGTTTCTTTATCTGAAAAATGAAAAGAATAATAGCACCCACCTCCTAGGGTTATTGTGAGGACAAAATGATATAAAATTTGTAAAATGTTTTGCATACCTTAAAGTTCTAGAAAAATGCTGGCTTTTATTAATGTCATTAATTTCTCACTTGCTATACTGTTTACTTACATGCCATTTTCATGCCTACGAATTTGTCTCCTGAGTTCTTAACATTAGCGTATGCCATCTTTTTAAGGCCATATCTTGGATGGACCAAAATTCTACAGAATATAGTATAAACTTGCCCCAATTCCCATGGGACTATAGATGGAAATGAAAGGTTCGGGGGAAATGATATTCAGAGAGTGTGCATAAAGCTAATGAAACTCATTGTCTGCTTTTTGTTCGCCTGTTAACTTCTCAAGTTTCAGAACAATAGTGTGCTTTGCTAAAAATACCATCTTTCTTTGTCATTCCTTTGAATTTTCAAGAGGACTTCTTTTTCAACTTCTTTACAAATGATTCGACATTTAATTCTGTCACCTTTGCCCTTGCCATTAACCAAAACACTGCCAATCAACTTTTCAGCTTCTTTCCATTTTCAAAAGGTCAAAAATCAGAGGGAGCTTTGATGAAAAAAGGACTTCTGGGCTTTTGGCCAAAACCAACACAATTCCCTTTCTCATGTTCCCTATTTTTCCACATTGTAGTTCAATGATAATGTAAATCATTACTTTTCATTTGTTCCAAACAGCCTAACTCAGCCTCTTTTCTTTTTCGGCCAGGCCATGGGAGCCATAAGAACAGCCAGCACCATATTATTGGATAGGAGATCTATTGAGAGACCCCTCAAAGACCAGAGTACGGGACAGGGTCATCTGGAATGAATTCACAGATTCAAGCACTCTTTGAGTCAAGGTTGGCAAAGATTTATTGTTATGCTATATAGTGGGCAGAGGTCCTTAGGGAACTTAAAGCCTAACAGAAATGATGTTAAAACTTACATAGGAAAAGTAGTGAATTATGTGGCAAGTATGCTAATTATGTGATAACATACAACTACGTCATTCACTACTGGAAACTTCAGGAAGGGGAGAAAGAGAGGATTCCTAAAGGGTATATTTTTGGTCTATTATGTCTGTAACAAGATAGTTTTAGGAGTTGACATCTATAGCTTGACCTCTGGATTGTATACGGTAACTGTGAGCATCAGTACTTGGTAGTTCTGCTGGTACAAGATAATCCTGTTCATACAAGGGAAATTCTACAGAGGCCAGCTTGTTCTTGTAACAGGGAGAGATGGTTTGCCTCACTGGACCCACTCATGAGTCACTTCCAGAGACAGGGTCTTTGGGCTGTAGGGAAACTGCCAAGGATAATCTTTCTGGGGCCAGGGAGAAATTGGGATCTGAGCACAGGCACCCCAGCAACCCATCAGATCCACAAGAACATCACTGAGGCATGAGCTAAGGAGTTTAGGCACAAAATGATCCATTTCGTTTCCATTGCCAGCATAGCTGTTCGTGTCCATCCATTCCCACTCTTCTCTTATATCACCTTGGCTTACTGGCCCAGGAACAGAAAGAGGGGTTAGAAAACTGGCTTCCACTCACTACTTCCAGACTTTCCACCTGCCTCCATTGTTCAGCAACCTCTTCTTTGAGTTCCCCTCTATCTGAATTTATCAGTCAATCCAGATCCTGGTGACTGGAGTCAGGAAAATAATTTGTGCCTCTAATCTTTAAGTAAGCCTCCATCACTAGTACTCAGATCATTCTGCTTCCTTTCTCAAGGGGTTCAGTATATGGCAAATAGTCTCCCTCTCTATCCAGCTCCTGATCTTATACTATGGAACTTCAACATACATATTGATGTCCTTCAAACATCCTAACCTGTAATTTCCTCAGTCTCCTCAATTCCCATGATCCACCTTTTTATGCCACCTCAGCTATATGCAGAAATGATCACACCCTTGATCTTACCACCACCCAAGAGTGTTCCATAAGCAATCAAGAATTCTTTTATCACAAACTCCTATGATATCATCTCTCTGAATGCCTTAATCCTCCTAAACATAGTCTTTGTCTCACTGTGGCCTCAACTCTCTCCACTCCTCAGTTCTCCCTCAGGCTCTGGTTTCACTTTTCTCTTTTCCCAGACTCAATATTTTGGTTAACCAATTCAACTCTCCACTGTCCTGCTCTTTCAAGTTTCTTGCTCCTTTGTCCTACTCATGTCTTGCCAAAGTCCAATCCTGGACTGATCCCACCATCTGCTTACTCTACTCCATCTTACATGCCCCTGAATGGAGCCACAAGAATTCTCACAACTCTGCTGAATCCAATATAAATTTATGTTATCTAATTTTAATTGGTCACAAAGTGTAGCAAGGCAGTCTTTTTTTTTAATTTTCCCTAATTGATCTTCTATCTTGTTCTTCATAGCAGCTATTCCAAACCTTCTCTTTTCTCCTTAGACCTTCCATACCTTCTCCTTCTCACCAGGGAACCGTGACTTACACTTTACTGAGAAAATAGAGACCATTCATCATAAGTCCCTTCCTTCCCCCACCCCATATCACACTAGATCAGGGATCTAGAGCTGCGAATAAAAATACCCAAGTTCTAATTTCAGTTCAGCTATTGATTTCCTACTTAAGATTGGAAGCCCCTTGAAAGTAGGGGCTGTGCCTTGTTCACATTTGTACTTGCCCTAGCTCTCTAAGGGCTTTGCCACTTACTGGTGATCAATAAATGTTTGTGTAATGGTACTGATTTTTTTTTGATGAGGCAATTGGGTATTAAGTGACTTGCCCAGGGTCACACAACTAGTAAGTAAGTATCATGTGTCTGAGGTCAGATTTGAACTTGGGTCCTCCTGACTCCAGGGCTGGTGCTCTATTCACTGCACCACCTAGCTTCCCCTGTAATTTTTTAAATGAATAGATTAAAGGATGATTGGTCTGCTCATTGACAATTGATGACAATTACAAAAACCACCTTAGCTCTCTATCTGAATCATATTGATTGTGAGAAAGCCAAAATGAATAGATTTTCTGTGCTGACAGTTTACCTTTCACATAGAAAGAGTGCTGGACCAAGACTCAGCTTCCTTGTCTCTCATTAATTGTCCTTATTCGTATTGCTAGTATTATCACTGCTCTTTTTGTCCTTTCTTCACCAAGATGCCACTCTCCATGGTGACTAGCTCAGATTTTTTTTTTCTACATTAAGGTTTACAAAGCTTTTTTTGTCACAAGAAACCTGGGAAGTGTATATTACAAGTATTTTTGGCATCTTCAATTAACAAGGGAAAAAAATATGCGTTCCTCATTTAGGCTGTAAGTTTCTAGAAGACTAGTCATTTTTTATCTTTGTGCTTGCAGCACTCAGTGGAACGCCTTGTATATTGTTGTTGTCCAGTCATGTCTGACTCTTTATGACCCCACAGAACAGACTGTCCACGAGGATTTCTTAGCAAAGATACTGGAGCAGTTTTCCATTTCCTTCTCCAGTGGATTAAGGCAAACAGAAGTCAAGTGACTTGCCCCAGGGTCACACAACTAGTGAGAGTCTGAGGCTGGATTTGAACTCAGATCTTCCTGACTCCAGGCCTAACCCTCTATCCACTGAGCCATCTAACTGCCCTTGCCTATTGTATATAAATATATACAATTGTATATATTTGTATATAAAAACATGTATACAAAAGATGCTTAATTTAAAATTGTAGAATCAAATCAAGAGAGGTGGTGACTTGCTCAGGGTTCCATAGCTACAAAATATCAGAGCTGCAGCTCTAAGGCAGGTCCTTGCCACTATAGGTAGGGCTTAAAGGACCAGAGTTGAATAAATAATTATCCGTATGGTTGCATTGTTGCAACTCATGTCAGAGGCTCCTCTTCTTACACAAATGGTCTGTGTACACTCTGGGGGATTTCTCTTCTATTTAATTCACTATACTCTTCCCCTCAAAACCTGGGATCTCTTTTATATGACGCCACCTAGAATATTGTCACTAACCTCTTACCTTTCAGAGAAAACAATTCTCAAAACTCAAAGGAGGAAAACTTTATAGGTCAAAACAAAACACCAGAGCTCATGAAGGAGATAGCACAAAATAGCAACCTCCGTCCTTGAGCAACCTTCCACTAGAGGTCTTTCTGGCTTCAGCTTTTATGGAATTCATAGATTTAGTGCCAGAAAGGACCTGAGATTTAGAGCCAGATGCATGCTGATTCAGCCCCTTTATCTCCCACGTAGCAGGTGGGGCTACTGCTAGGTGTTGCCTAACTTTCTCAATATATGGGTCCTCCTGTAGTTCTCCAGAGCTTCCAACACATGGTCGTGGTTGGCATTTTCTGTCAATGTGCCTCATCATTGCTCCTCCTCTAGTTCTTCAGATGTTCTGTCCGGCATAGCTCTTCTGTCTTACCCTTCTTGCAACTCTACTCACCTACTGGCTAGTGGAATCACTTTCTCCAGAGAAAAATTTGTTGAGAACTTTGTCTCATGACTGCACAAAGAAATACAGTTATCCCTTTCACATCATGGGGGTTAGGGACATGGCACCACTCTTCAATCTGGATGATCCGCATAAAAATTTTTGGCCCTCCTTTCATACCAGGGAAGAAGTCTGAATTATTATAGTATTTTTAAAAAGTAAAATATGTTGATATTATACAATACTATATATGTATTTTATGCGTTTCTGAGTTTCTAAACTTTTTCTATGTCATCTGCTCACCTTTGCATGTCAGCTACAGCTTCCACAAAACTTGTCATTTAATTTCTTATGCTGATCTGTGATATTCAAATGGTGATGGGAAAGTAGCGATAGAAGGGATAGCTATATTTCAAAGCTTTATTATATAGTCCCTTCTCTGGGTTACTTTCCCAGAGTGCAGTTACTTCTTGCACAGATCTTGGGGTATTCCTATGGGTCCAGGCCCCTACTACTATAGCTCATGGACCACCCCCTACAGTACTTCCCCTTCATCATCATCCAGTGTATACAATTAGGTAAAAGCAATGGCATTTACTACAATTGTAGAATAAGAATAGTAGCTATAAAAACATTTCCCCTAACAAACCTGGGGTACATCTTCCCATAAATATACACAGAGTATAATGGAAAGGAGGCATATATGTAGGGAATCTATAGAGTCAAGCACTCACATCTTCAATCACCTAGCACCTGAATGGCCTTTCTCTTTATGGAGTTCTTATGCTGCCCCTATGACCCTGGGCATAGAGTCTTAGCTGGGCATCCACTCAGCTGGACTCTCAGGATCTGCTGCACTTCATAGCTCAGCCCTCTATTGCCCCATTTCCAGAACAACTTCTTCCTTGAATCCATAGTTGACTCTCTTCTGCAATCCTAACAGCCATATGCTTTGAAGCTTTTAGCCTTGAGTGACTAACCCCATTTCTCCCTATCTTCCAAGCTTCATAGATATACCTAGAGGGAAAGTGGAGGGGGTTTTTCAAATAAATCAAGATTGTTTCTGGCCATTTCTAGGTTAATAGGCACAGAAATAAAAAATATCCAAGCCTGTCAGGAGATTGCTTATTTTTACTCTAGTTTCTTCCTGAACTCTCTTACACTGAGTGTGTCTCCTTCTCCTTAAGTATCTCTTAGAATAGATGCCATTGTACAAACAGGGTGAGAAAAAAAGAAAAGATCTTTCTTTTCTGCTGCCTTTTGATATAGGAACGGGGCTTGTACTCCACAAATCTGTTCCAGCCTGTTCTTATCCACAATCATTCACTCTTGAAATGTCCTATAATCTTTTGAGGGCTACCAAGGGACACGGACAATCTTTTGCCCCTTCTAATTCAATCAAGGAACTTGTTCACACTTCATAAGGGGTTCAGCAGTGTGGCCAATATTGTAGTTAGTTCAACATTTCTTTGTAA